AGGGGCAGCGGCGGCGCACGGGCAGCGGCGGCGCACGGGCGGCAGCAGTGCACGTGCGGCGACGGCAGGAGGCGGCGGTGCGCAAGCAGCAGCGGAAGCAGCGCACGGGCGGCAGCTGCGTATGCGCACGTGCGGCAGTGGCAGCGGGGCTCGGGCAGCTGCGGGCAGCGGGGCGTGCGCGAGCAGGCGACGGGCGGCTGCGGGGCGTGTGCGAGCAGGCGACGGGCGGCTGCGGGGCGTGCGCGAGCAGGCGACGGGCGGCTGCGGACGGGCGGCCTCTGCGACGGCGGGCTGCGGGCCTGCGGGGCGTGCGCGAGCAGGCGACGGGCGGCTGCGGGGCGTGCGCGAGCAGGCGACGGGCGGCTGCGGGGCGTGCGCGAGCAGGCGACGGGCGGCTGCGGACGGGCGGCCTCTGCGACGGCGGGCTGCGGGCCTGCGGGGCGTGCGCGAGCAGGCGACGGGCGGCTGCAGCAGCGGGTGCGTCAGCGTGGCGCACAGGGCAGCAGCAGGCAGTGCGCGAGGCTACGAGGCGCACGGGCAGCAGCGCAAAGGCGCGCGGGCAGCGGGGAGGCAGCGTGACGGGCCGCGCGCGAAGAAAATAAAGCGCGCGCGGGCAGCTGGCGGGGCGCACGCGTGAAAACGGCCGCGCGCGAGCGGCTAGTACGGCGCGCGCGGTAAAAAAAAGGAAAGCCACGCGCGGGCGGCTGCGTGCGCGTGGTAGGTAGGTAAGGAGCGCTCTAGGACGCGCAGGCGCACGAGGCGCACAGTAGGTAGGTAGGTAGGTAGGTGGGCCCTAAGAACAGTCCTAGCGACGGACCTGCTCTGAAACCATGTCAGAAATAACGGACTGGAATGGTGAACTAGAAAGGATTGTGAGTACAAATATGAAACCCTAATGTTGTGACCCCCCTATAGGCTAACCCACTACAGCCTACACAAACACAACACATATAATGTTTGACACTGGTTTCCAGAGGTGTTTTTGCCTAACCCTTAAATCCAGAGTGTTTGGCGAGCCTTGCTCTTAGATGTCAGTCTAACACAGTCTGTCAGATAAAAAACCCTGGCGCCTCAAAGTAAATTTTTTGGTTTACTCTGATGGTTACGCATTGTTTATTTGTTGTTGCATTGCAAGAATTTTTGAATATTAAAACTTCATATAAAGGTTGTACACAATGACCTAGTACCACACCACAGGCTCACTCATCGTCTGCCACGTCATCCTCCCGTTCGTCGTCCATGCTGGCCTCTGGCTTGCCCTTGTCGTTGGCTAGTTGGAAGGGTGCAGGGGATTTTGTAGGCCGCCTCTTCTTCTGCTTGCGCCAGATGTCCACGACATCTGGCCACTCCACGTTGTAGTCGAGCATGTGGGTGCTCATGAGTTCGGTGAGCCGCGTGTCGTTGAGGGCCGTGCGCTGCCAGCTCTTGATGATGTTCTGGCGTGAGAATCCACGCTCACATTCGACGGTGCTGAGCGGCAGGACGGCCAACGCCTGCCACAGAGTCATGATGTTGGGGTAAGTTCGCCGCCAGTCACGTGACCTCAGCATGTTTGTCAGCGACTGGTAGAAGTCCTCGTCCTCGTGGTGCGTCCTCATGATGTGGCAGAAAGTTTTCAGCTCAAGTTCGGCTGCCCGCAGATCGAATCCTGCCACAGTACGCACAGCGCTGGGTTTTTTAAGTACGGGAATGTTTGTTATACCTTGACGTAAGGCATAATTTCATGGGAAGCAAACATTCACGATCGAAATTATATTCTCATATCTGGCAGCTGGTGGTTGAAGAGTTGAGAGTTCTCGCGGAGCCACATGGCACAACGTCTCACACGCGTGTCCGGATTCGTTGGCCACTTGTCCACCCTGAAGAGCTTCATGCCGCCCATTCGACGAAGATCTCGCATGCGGTGCTTCAGGTTGTACACGACCTCACGAGCGAAGGCAATCTGCTAGCGTCCTGCCGAACTTGTGCTTCTTGTCCGGCAGCTCGCTGAGCTCGAAGGTGTGCTTGACGGGTCTGCCGCTAGCGTCCACGCCGTCCACCTTCACCTTCTTGTCCCCTTTCTTGACACGTGCCATGAACGGAGACAAGTTAGGGCTCAGACCCGCCCCGAATCCACCGTCGTAGTCGATGTAGCGGTGCTCGATGAGGGACACCACACGGTCGACCTCTTCTGTGACTTGCGTCACCTCCACCTGACGCACCGACACGCGCACAAAAAAGTTTGTTAGTCGGTGATGTAAAAAGAATAATAAGCACGGCTAAACGAGTGTAGCAACAAGCCTTAACTGCACGTTTTACCTTGCGTCGTTGGAAAAACGGTTCAGGGAGTTCAACTCCCCCAAAATGTCTGCCAGGAAATACAGACAGAAGTGAAATTTCAGGGTCTTCACAACCAAGGCGATCTTGTGCTCGTACTCCAGGAAGAGCACGATTGTCGACCCCAAAATCTTGACAAGTCGGTTAACCGCATCGGCACGTGAGAGCCAGCGCACGTCGAACAGTGCCTGGTGCTCAAGGTTGGTGCTGTGGATCTCCCCACGATCTGGAGCTCTTTGAACCGCTCGTACCACGGCGTGGATCTCCCCACGATCTCGCCAACTGCACGGACGGCCTTGTCCACCATCCGGAAATCTTTGAACTGCTCGGCTTCGGCAGTCTCCTTCACAGCAAGTGCTTCGCTGCAAGCAAAAGTGGGAAACCCACATTAAGATTGTTACAATACAAGACTAATAAAAACGAATACCATACAACAGGTCATTCAAATTTACCAGCCACGCCACACGTACCGATGCGCAATGCAGTGGCAGCCCACAAGGTGAGGGACGTTGACGCAAAGTCGCGTGACAAGGCCAGACGTGCCCCCGATCATCACTGCCGCGCCGTCCGTGGACATTCCTGAAATCTTCTGCAAGTCGATGCCCACTGACTCGAGATGCTGGAGCAGTGCGCCCATGAGCGATGCCGCATCACATTGCTGGACGGTTAGTAACGTGAGGAACTCGGTTACAACCACGCTGTTCTTGAGAAACGTAACAAACACAATCATGTGTTTGCCACGGGCGCGATCCGTACTCTCGTCGCACATGAGGCCGATGAAGGGCGACACGTGGAGGTGGCGCATTTGCTCTCTGGTCAGATACACGGTGAGAGCCCTGGCCATCTCGGAGCAACCGTACCTGCGCACTCACACGGAACATCGCATTAGGCTACTTGAACATAAACGGTCGCTTCAAAAACAAAACAGCCAACAACAACTCACTCCGTGATGTAGACTCCATAGCTTTGTCACGGTATATTGGCAACCCCCTCCTTTGCGAGAAGTTGCACGATCTGTGGGTATATGTGGATGGGTGTGTCGGTACGGCACACAAATCGCATGGCGCGCATGAGTACCGTGACGCGACAGCCTTCCGGATCTCCCTTCGCGAAGTCTTCAATCTTCTTCTGGTCAACGATCTTCTGCAGAAGGTTTGCCTGCTTGTTCATGGCGTCCTCGTGCTTCGCGCTGTTCTCGTGCCACCGCATCGACCCGTGTCTGAATGTTGTATTTGTCTAGCCTGCAGTGGGGTACTCTATAGCGAGTACAGCCCAATCTAGGGTTTGCTATTTGTATCTCAACTGCTGCTAGTCCAAACCCTCTTTCTGCTTCTAAACTTCTTGCTTACCTTTCGACATGCTATCAGAGCAGGTCGACCCTCCTGGGTCGATCCTGTGGGTGGGCCCACCACCTAAGCCTTCCGCTGCTACTGCTACTGCTACTGCTACTCTGTGTGTCGCACGCCCCGTGGCGTGCGACGGATTTTTTATCCCGCCGTGCGCCCCGAGGTGCGCGGCGGTTTTCTGCCCGCCGTGCGCCCCGTGGCGCGCGGCGGTTTCCTGCCGTGGGGAGTCCGCGCGCGCCCCGCCCGTCCGTTGCGGCGCCCTGGGGAGCACGCGAGCGCCCCGCCCGTTCGTCGCGGCGCCCTCGGGAGCCCGCACGCGCCCCGCCCGTTTGTCGCGGCGCCCTGGGGAGCACGCGAGCGCCCCGCCCGTTCGTCGCGGCGTCCTGGGGAGCCCGCGCACGCCCCGCTCGTTCGTCGCGGCGCCTTGGGGAGCCCGCGCGCGCCCCGCCAGTCCGTCGCGGCGCCCTGGGGAGCCGCGCGCGACCCCCCCGCGGCCCCCACCAGTCCACCGCGGCGCTCTCGGGAGCCGCGCGCGTAACTTCCCTCCCCCCGCCCCGTCCGTCCGTTTTGGCGCCCTGGGGTTGCGCGCGGTCCCCCTCTCGCCGTCCCCCGCGCTCCTGCCCCTATCCCACCCGTTTTAGGGTTTGGGGATGTGGAGTGTGGGGGTGGCGGGTGTGGGGGTGCCGGTTGTGTGCCCCGTCCCCTCCTTCTCCTCCTCCTCCGTCTCCCGCTGCTGCAGCTGCCGCTCAGGGGGGTGGTTGTGTGGGGAGCCGACGGAGTGGTACTAGGGGGGTGAAAGGGGAGTGGAGCTAGGGGCGAAGCAGGGGGTGTGTGTCGAGGGGTGTGGGACTGTTGGGGGAGGTTGAGCGGAGGCCGCCGTCGTGTCGTCTGCAGCGCCTGTATTCCGGGGTTCTGATAGCCACCGGTAGCTCAGAGAGCCGGTTGCACCTGTCGCCCGTGGGTCCGTTGCTCCTGTCGCTGCTGATTAGGCGCAGAGCCTGTTACTCCTGTATTCCGGGGCCCTTGCTCCCGGTAGCCACTAGAGCTGCACCAGAGCCGTCTGTTGCCCGTGTGTCTGCAGCTTCAGTCGTCGCCTCCACTCTTCTCTCCTCTCGCCAGCCCTCCTCCTCCTCGCCAGCCCTCTGTGCTTTGCTCATAAAATGTGAACTACTATTATGACTGCTTGTTGTGCTGATTACACCCCACTTTGGCTATGGGGGTGTGTTAGAATGTTGTATTTGTCTAGCCTGCAGTGGGGTACTCTATAGCGAGTACAGCCCAATCTAGGGTTTGCTATTTGTATCTCAACTGCTGCTAGTCCAAACCCTCTTTCTGCTTCTAAACTTCTTGCTTACCTTTCGACAACCCGATCTGCAGGTCACGACCGCCAGCGCCATTGCGTCCGTAACGCGCGTTGTCCTTCCTGTGCTCCATGCAGACACTGCAGCGCAGGCACGGGTCACCCTCTGGCGTCTTGTCCAGAATCAGCCAGTCGAACTTCGGCAGCCAATCAGACGTGTAGCTCTTCTGCGCCTTCAGGTACGCCTTCTCCTTCTTCTCCTTGTCTGTAAGGGGACGAATGGGGGGTGGGGCAGCACGGGGAGGTGGTGCGACGGGCTTCGGCGGCGGTGTTCCCCACTGCAAAACCTGCTGCGTAAACCGTCGCTTCTTCACAGCGACTGAACCGGTTGACTCAGGAGTGGCCGAATCGACAACCTGCGTTGCAACCGTTTCTGCCGGCTCTGCAGCAACCTCGTTCCGCGGCGAGGCAATCCACTCCTCGACACCGTCTAACTCAGTAGCGTCATCCATCGGGCGCGGAGAAGGACACCACTCGCCGTTCGCGTCTTCCATGCCACCACAATCTTTGCGAGGACGGCGCATCCATTCGGTACCGCCGTCGCCCAGCTCCTCGTCATCGCGAACGTTATCTTCACGCACAACGTGGAGAAACTGAAGCCCAGTTGCAGGGGGTGTGCTACATGTCGGCCTGTCGTCGGGATCTGCCGTGTCTCCCTCGGCGTTGCTAGTATCCATGGTGTTGACGGCAAAAACCAAGTTGAGGGAGCCGGGGCTGTGGCTGGAGAAGCCCTCTGAACACTCGCTAGACTGGCACGTTGAAGAGCAGTGTTGGTGGAAGAAACATAATGGGAGGACAGGATGGGGTTTGGTGGTGACCCCGTCTGCCAGCCGAGCAACAGGTGGGGTTGTGCGCGCCTCGCACGAATTCAGTGCACCACGGGAAGCTGCCGTATCATGCCCATAAGTTGGAGTTGTTCATTGCTGAGGGTGTACGCAAAGCCAGCGATGTATCTAGTGGGTGGCCAGTTGAGTGCGCTGGCTCGAAATATGCCATTCCGGCCGATCGGAGCCTCAGGTTGTGCCAACACACAAGCGAAACAAGACTGATATCCCCTGCGCTCCGGTCCAAACCGGCAGCGAGGGGATTAGGGGGAACGTGGGGGGTCGGGGGGGTACATGTATCCCCCGTTTAGAGTAAACTCACTATCCGAGAAAGAAACACTGGCGCTCCAGAGTGACCTTACACAAAAACCCTGGCTGATCAGAGAACAAGTAACTCTAAAAAAAAAATACCCAGCAGGTACAGAGTGCCCCCCTAAAAACCACTCTGATTTTCAGAGAAACAGAGTAAATTACACTGATAAATAAACCCCTGGTGTACAGTTATGGAACAGCCTGGGAAATACTTCTTAACGTTGCACTCAATACAGATTTCAGTCATCATCATCAGACATGAGTTGTCAAGGCCGGAATCACGGCTTCGACAGTTGCCCCCAGGTTACGGGAAAGGGGGGGTGGGTGTACTGAGGGGCGGGGGGGGGTAGGGTACTCGGTACAGGGTAAAACTCGTTACGGGATTCGGGAACCCTTGGGCATCAGTGTGCCTTGCACAGAAATTCTGGCACATCAGGGTAAACCTAACTCCCAAAAAAAAAACCTGAGGCCATCAGTGTGAGTATCAAAAACCGCCCTGATTATCAGGGTATCAGGGTGATTTACACTGATAAAATTTGCCCTGTTCAGTACTGCTCGGACCTGTGCGGAGTCGTTCGAAAGAGCCACGCGGCGCACCTCCAGGAATGAAAAGGAGTGTTGGAGTTGTTGGGCTGAGAAAAGCCCTTAGGATCTTTGCGGGGGTAAAACTCCGGTAGGACTATGTAATAGCGGAAGCGTATTAGTGGAGAATTTGTGAACCACCTTGCGCTGGTATGTGAGGGCAAAGTAAGTTGATTATAGCAAAGGGATACAAGAATATATAGAAGATTACAAGGAATACGAAAGGATATAGTTGTAACTACTTTTGCTGTTGCGGTTCGATACAGTGACGACTCGGGCAACTGCTCTGTAACGAGTCAGTTGTGTGTCCTTGCTGTCGCGCTGCACTTGTCAGGTCAAAGGTCGCTTGACCTTTGACTTTCGCGTAACCTCCAGCAACCTCTTTTAACCTCCGAGGGTTGACTCGCGGGTGCTTCGATATGGCGTGCTTCGCTTCTGGTGTGGTGTTTCGACACGACAGAGGCGTTTACAATTTATTGTTTCCAACACTCCCCTTCGCTTCTGGAGTGTCGCTCTTGATGACGTGGCTTTGTCCAGTCAGCAACATGCAGTACTCGAATTTCTGCTTCCCGAGCTTCTTGGTCAAATAGTCGGCTGCCATCTCGGACGTGGGACAGTATGACAGTTCGAGTCTCCCTTTCTCGATCTCGTCTTTCACGAAGAAATAGCGCAGGGCGATGTGTTTCGTCCTGTTCGCGAAGCCGTTCTTGTTGGCAATGCGGATTGCCGACTGGTTGTCGCAGAACAGTGTGAAGTTGGGTAACTCGGCTAACTTCGCTTCTTCCAGCAGCTCGCGAAGGTAAAGGCCTTCCTTGGTGGCTGAGCAGAGTGCTATATATTCTGCTTCGGCCGATGAGAGGGCAATTAATTCCTGCTTACTCGATTGCCAGGAGATAGGACCGATGGGTTCGAGACGATAGATGTAGCCGGTGCGTGAGCGTCTGTTGTCGGAGTCGCCGGCGTGATCGGCGTCGACGTAGCCGATAAGTTTAGTTGGTGCGGTTGCGTTTTTGTGATACGTTAACCCGATCTTCGGGGTGCTGACGAGGTAGTTAAGAGCGCGATCGAGTTCTGCTAGATGTTCTGCTTCAGGTTTCTTGAGGTGGGTGGCGAGCTGGCTTGCAGAGTACGATAGGTCAGGACGGCAGGTGACGGCTGCGAAGAGGAGACACCCTAGCTTTCTCTGGTAGTCACGTATTCCGGCGGGCTTGAGTAGAGCGGGGTTTCCCGTGCTGTTTCCTGTTGTGTAGCGGTAGGGCGTGGAGATGGCGGTTGGTGTGAGAGCGAAGCGTTTGGCGATGGTGTCGGCATATTTCGCGGCGTTGAGGTAGATCGCGTCTTCTTCTTCTCGGATGTTTAGGCCGAGGTACTGTGTGACGGTAGGTGAGACTGTGAGAGTGAGGTCCTTCTGCAGTTCCCCTTCGAACCAGGAGGTGACGTTGTCAGTCGAGCCGATGTAGAGTAAATCGTCTACGTAGACGATTAGGAGGATGTAGTCTGTACCCTTCGTGAGCCGATACATTCCCTGATCGTGCGGTAGCTGCTTGAAGCCGATGCGAACGAGTCGGGCGTGCAGGTACTGTTGCCACAGTCGTGGGGCTTGTTTGATGCCGTAGAGCGATTTGAGTAGTTGACAGACGTGTGTAGAGTCAGTGCTGGAGCCGTGTGGTAGCTCCACGAAGATCTCTGCGTCAACAGGTGCGTAGAGAAAGGCGTTTGCGACATCGATTTGTCGTAGCTTTTTCTTCTTCATGGCGGCGATCGCGAGGAGAATGCGTAGTGAGGTGTGTCGGCTGACCGGATCTAAGGTTTCGGTGAAGTCGCGTCCGTGTTCTTGGTCGAAGCCGCGTACGACCCAGCGCGCCTTGAATTTGTCGATGGTGCCATCTGCTTTCGTCTTCACGCGGAAGACCCATTTTCCGGTGAGAATGGTCTTGTTTCGTGCTACGCCGATAGGAACGATTTTCCAGGTGTTGCGTTCTTCTAGCGCTTTCAGCTCCTTGTCCATGGCTTCACGCCATTTTTCCCTGTGCTCCCCCCCCAGAGCCTGCTGAAACGTTGCAGGCTCCTTAGGAATGGTGGCGCCGTGGACTGCGGTGACGAGCCCGAGTATCTGGAGTCCACTCTGTGTGTAGCGGGGGAGTGTGGTGTCCTCGGGATAGACTGCCTCGTCTCCAGCTTCTGGATCAGGTGCGAAGTTGGGCCCTATGCGTTCTGCTTCGTTGGTGTTGACTTCAGCAGGTGTAACGTAACCGTTGTCGGCGAAGTGGTAGTAGGTTTCGGCGTTGACGCTTTCGCGAGGGTTATCTTCGTCCATCGGTACGTCCACTGAGCAGTAGGGGAGAGGTCCGGCTTCTTCCGAGGCTCCTTCCACGTTCTGCTCGTCCCAGTCAGCTTCGTCTCCTGCCGAAGCGAAGGCTCGATCGCCACGGAAGCCACCTGTGGGGTCTCGATTTTCGTCCAGGTTGGCAAGGTATGTTGGCAGTGTGAGCCGCTCGTAGAAAATGACATCACGTGCTGCTACTGTTTCCTTGGTGTGGATGTCGAAGATTTTCCACGCGTTGTAATGTTTTTCGATGCCCAGGTGTAGTCCCCACTGTGCGCGTTGGGAGAATCGGCCGGCTCGTGCAGATGGGGGTCGGTACTGTACCATGCAGCCGAAGACTCGTAACATTTTTGTGCTGCCCAGTTTCCCTGTCCACAGCAGATGCGGTGATGCGTTGTTCAGGAGTGACGACGAGGAAAGCAAGTTGTGCAGCATCACGGCGTGGTCCATTGCTTCGGGCCACTGGTGGTTGGGTAGCCGCATGCCACGTAACAGTTTGCGCATGGTGTTCTGCAGAGTCCTGTTCATCCTTTCTGCTACACCCTGCTGTTGATGGGCGTAGGGAAGGGAGATGAGTCTCTTGATTCCCTTCTCCGCCAGATACTGCTTGAACCGCTGTGACGAGTATTCTCCTCCTCCGTCTGATTGAAAACTTTTGAGCTTAGCTCCTGATTCCCGTTCTGCTGCTGGAAGCCATGCCACGAAAGCCTCGAAAGCCATGTCGCGACTTGGTAAGTTTAGGTGCCAGACGTAACGTGTAGCGGCGTCGATGAAGGTGATGGTGTAGTTATACGCGTTTTGTCCGGGTTCGCGGTTGTACAAGATGTCGCTGTACACTTTCTCGAGTGGTGAATATGCAGGTGCGCTTGGGTTGTGATGCGAGACGAAGGGCTGATGCGGTAAGTCAGCTTCGGGGCAGGTGAAGCACGTTCCTCGGGCTCGCTGAAGTTCTCTGCCGTCGATCAGTAAGAGTGAATCCTTGTCAAGTACTCCAGCTCTTATCGTGTTGTTTAATGCTGTGTTGCTTGGGTGTCCCATTCTTGCGTGCCAGGTTTCTTCGTTGGCGCGGTGTCCTGGCGAGCGTCGGTACATGTCGGAGTTGGAGTAGAAGCCGGCGATGATGTTCGCGCTTCTGTGAACTTCCCGTGGTGCCGGGTTGAGCTGCTGCGCCGGTGTTGGCGGCGTCTCGTCGATGGAGGGCTGTGCCGTTGAGGGACCGGCGACTGGTGTTGATGTTTCTGCTGCTGCTGCTTTTGTCTGTGCTGCTGTCGATGTTGTTTCTGCTGCTGTCGATGTTGTCTCTGCTGCTGCCAATGTTGTCTCTGCTGCTGCCGATGTTGTCTCCGCTGCTGCTGATGTTGTCTCTGCTGCTGCCGACTGCTGAATTGTCGCCAGCGCCCTTGTTCTTTCTGTTTCAGGGATGGTGTGTGAGTACCAGAAGCCGCTCGGGCTGAAGTCTGGATCAAGATCTGGAGGATGTGTCCAGTCAGTGAAGTTGACGATGGCGTCGCTGTCGGCCGTTCCGAGATCGGGGACGAAGTCAAGAACGAAGACGTTGTTCTTGAGAACCGCCTTGCCGATGTAGAGACCTCCTCTCCCGTGGTACAGCTTGAATTCCTGGGTTGTGCTGTCTGCTTCAAGGTGAATGCCTTTCGCCATCAGTTGACTGACGCTGAGTAAGTTGTAGCCGAGGCCTTCTGCAATTAAAACCTTGGACATCTGTAGAATGACGTTCGTTTCTCGTGACTGAAGTTGAACAACTCCTTGTCGTCGTGTGCGCAGGTTCTGATTATTGGCGACGGTGATGACCACCTCTCGTTGAAGCTGGTATTCTCGTTGTACGAAGCGTCCTGAGGAGCACATGTGTTGTCCGCAGCAACTGTCCAAGAACCACGTGTCCTTCCCGGATGGCTCGTTTTGGGCTATGGCAGCGTATGTCGGGTTCGGCTGAAGTGACTCGCGGCGTGGTGTCGTTTCGTCGAGTTGCTCTTCTGGTGAGTAGTACGGTGGTGATTCTGTGATGCAAGAATCGTTCAGTCTTGCCATGCAGCTAACGATGTTTCTTGTTCCTTGCGCAGGTTGTCCCGTTGGAGTTGTTGAAGATTGGAGCTGGGTCGTTGGATTCGCCTGTGTTGATGCGACTTGATTGCTTGAAGGTCGTAGCTGTCGCTGCGGAGTCGTTGACTGTTGTCGATTCGGGCAGTGCGTGCGCGGGTGTCCTGAAGTCTTGCAGATGTGGCAGAAAGGAGGTACTGGCTTCGGTTGTTGCTGTCGATTGTTGTAGTTGTTGTGACGTCGTTGAGTGTGAAACGCGAACTCTGATGTTGTCGTCTTCTTTCTGTGTCGTTCTTCTTGCAGGTCCATGTCCTGCTGCTCGGCGTGGATTTCGGCGCAGAGTGCTGCTTCAGAAATTCTGCCGTGGGCTCGGAGGATAGCTTTGGTGGCGCGCCATTGGGGACCGAGACCACCAATGATGACTGTCACGAAGGCGTCTTCAGAGATTGACCCTCCGCATCGAAGAAGCTTGTCGCGCAGTTCCCGACATCGGCTGATATACGTCATTCCCTTTTCTCCCGGTTTCATTTCGACTGTTGTCAATTGCGCCATTAACCTGCTCTGGTTTACACTGTCTGTTGCTTGGTACAGGCTCTTCAGGTGGCTGTACGCGAGCTCAGCGGAGTTGCCGTAACCCCGGTAAGAGCGTATGTTTTGCTGCTGAGTTGGTGTGACGTTCCTCAGCAGAATCGTATACGCCATCATCGATTGATACGTATACTGCTGCTTCTCATACTGTGTGCCGTTTGCTGGATATTGCAGGGACCCGTCGAAGAAGCCGAGTATCTGCGCGCCTTCCATCATTAACTCGAACTCGAATGACCAGGTGAAGAAGTCCTTTCCGTCGAAGGGCCTTGATGTCTGCAGCTTTAGAACGTGCGCGAACTGTGATTGCACTTGTAACGCGTCCAGTGGTTTATCTTGTCCAGGTGAAGGCTGCGGCATGAAGCTGATCGACCCGCGCTCGTACGGGGCGAAGGTAGGTTGCTGCTGTTGGTTTCCGCGCGCATATGACGACCCGTCAAGACTCATGGGTGTTGCCCTGTTGTTGTTGTTGCTGTTGTATGACTGTGCAGGTCCCGACTGCTGGTGCTGCTCGTAGAAGGACATGAAGGAGAAGAACTTCTCCATCATGTTTTGGTCGAAGCTGGCGGGGTGATTTACGGGAGTTTCAGTAGATGTTCCTCTAGGTCTTGTTGCAGTGCCCTCCTCTGTCTGCAGGCCAGAGGCAGGAGGTGGAGTAGGAGTAGTGCCCGGGGAGCCGTTGGAGGAGCTCCTTTCCTTGTTTGTTGCCATGTCTTGTAATGACTTGATAGTAGTGGAGTTTCCCCTGTTAGCTCTCATACCATGTTGGGCTGAGAAAAGCCCTTAGGATCTTTGCGGGGGTAAAACTCCGGTAGGACTATGTAATAGCGGAAGCGTATTAGTGGAGAATTTGTGAACCACCTTGCGCTGGTATGTGAGGGCAAAGTAAGTTGATTATAGCAAAGGGATACAAGAATATATAGAAGATTACAAGGAATACGAAAGGATATAGTTGTAACTACTTTTGCTGTTGCGGTTCGATACAGTGACGACTCGGGCAACTGCTCTGTAACGAGTCAGTTGTGTGTCCTTGCTGTCGCGCTGCACTTGTCAGGTCAAAGGTCGCTTGACCTTTGACTTTCGCGTAACCTCCAGCAACCTCTTTTAACCTCCGAGGGTTGACTCGCGGGTGCTTCGATATGGCGTGCTTCGCTTCTGGTGTGGTGTTTCGACACGACAGAGGCGTTTACAATTTATTGTTTCCAACAGGAGTATGAAGGGAATCGAGTCTAGCATTCCCGTAGGTGCAACAGAATCGCACCCGTCACTATCGAAGCAGCGCTAGGAGCAGGAAAGTCAACAGTCGCAAGAGTCAACTGTCGCGACTGTTGACGATTTGGACTGACGATTGACTCACCATCGAGGAATGTCAACAGGCGTAATCGTCTGTACGGTTACGCGCAGCGACTTAGTAACAAGAAGAAGAACAATAGTCGGAGTCACTGTAGAAATACCTGTAAAACAGCTAGAATAAGGGAATGTATCCCTTAGAGTACATGGCTAGCTAGATCTATTTATTTGTTTGTACTCTATGCTTTTAATCAATCTTGTCATTTACATTCACTATGCACAAGGTTCCTACCACAAGTCTTCCGCTACCAAAACTCTTCAAAGCAATCCTATCCTATCCAAAGATCCTCATTCTAACAGAAATACCTATCAGGTCCCAAGAGACATCAATGCACGGCGTAAGCATGGCAGTTGGGTAACGCAACGGTGGTTGTTGGGATCTCATTCAGCATTCGTGGTACTCACGGCCCTCAACATGGCATGTGTGGTGGAGAAGGGCAGGCAGTGGCAGGCAGTGGCGGTCACCGGCTGCGCCATGCGGTGATGGTGAGAGCAGCCACGCCCACGCCCCCCACAGCCATGCCGGCCAGCAAGCAGCGCCACGCCAGCGGCGAGAACAAGGGCGCGGGGGGGGCAGGCATGCGCAGCAGCGCTGCCACCTGCAGGTGCATGGGACGCAGGGACAAGGCGGGGGGTTGCTCACATGCACTTGTGCGTGCGTGCATATGTGTATGGCTGTGGTGTGGGTGCGGGTGTGTGTGCATGTGTGCATGTGCGCGCGTGCGTACGTGCGTGCGTGTGTGTGTGACTATCGTTGCCGGTGCGCTCACATCGATGTCAGAGCGAGTCCAGTTGGCAGTGATGCCTGCCACGTGCCCCTTGCCCACCACCGCCACCACGCGCGAGCTCCTCTTGGCCACGTGCCGCAGCATGCACGCCATGTACCTGCCGGGGAGGGTGTGTGGGGAGAGGGGGTTTGGTAGTGACAGGTGATGGCACAAGGAGTGTAGCGCCCTGAACAGGCCCCCACCCCCTCCACCCCATAATCTCAAGCGTGCCCCCAACCGAGCACCCAGCGCGCCTGAATCCAGAAACTGTCGCCTGTACTGCTACAGCAAGCTTACCTGCTCTGGGATTTCCAACGACACAACCCCGCATCGCTCACCATTCCGTTGCTTGCACTCACCACATCAACTACCAGTCGTGGTCACTCCGCCATAATATCATCTTTGCCGTTCTTGCCTGTGCCTGCCCTGTACCACATCTACTCATGACAAGGACCGTTCCAAGGCGGGGGGAGGGGGGCGTACAGGTCGCGCTCGTGGATGAGCGTGGTTAGCAGCGAGGGGAAGGCGCGGGCCATCTCCGCCACGGCCAGTGACAGCAGGTCCGACGACTTGAGCTCCTCCACCTGCCGTGGGGGTGGGGGCAGGCGAGAGGCGCCACGGGTGAGAGGGGCCGGCATGCATGAATGCGGGCAGAGCAGGCACATGGCATGGCTGTGAGTTGTGGCAGCGCGGCACAGAGGAGGTGAGACAGGGGCAGCGGGAACAGGTGTGACAGCTTGAGTTGAGCAGAGGGCTGACAGGAGGGACGGCAGCAACCTAACAAGCCCAATCCCTGGTGCGGTGGTTGAGTGCAGTGAGCTGTGTTGACTCACGAGGTGGTGGAGTTGGGCCTTGGAGGGCAGGCAGAGCGCCTGCAGCAGCAGCAGCGCCACCAGCTTCACACGGTGCCAGCGGCTCATCATGGCCCACGTGCGCCTCAACGTCACCTGCCATGCCATGCCATGCCATGCCATGCCATGCCATGCCATGCCATGCCATGCACGCCAGGAAGTGGAGATGAGGGGGGGGAGAGGGAGGAGAGGGGGGTGGTAGAGGGGCCTTGACGCCACTCCAAGCGGCGTCGTGGTGAATGGTTGCCAACAATTCGTTGCCTCCCATGTAGGCATACAGCCGCCAACCATTTGCACGCTTCACCCGCCCCCTCCCCCTCCCCTCTCACCTGCACGGGGCGGTCACCGAGTTTGACAACAGCGCCACACGCCACGGCCTCCTCGTAGGCGGCACGGAACTCCGCCCCGGGACACACCTCCATGCGCGCTGCCACCTGCCCACGGCGGGGGGAGAGGGGGGAAGACACAGGCAAGGAGTCAGAAAGAGGGTGGGGCACGTAACCATGGCAGCAAGCGAGCGAGGCGGGCTGAAAGGGATGTGAGAGACACACTGGTTATGCCGCGGACGAGCGGGAGGAACTTCGGAATATGGCAGCTGGACCATGTGCACAGTATGCAAGGCTACCTTGACCATGTGCACAGTATGCAAGGCTACCTTGACCATGTGCACAGTATGCAAGGCTACCTTGACCATGTGCACAGTATGCAAGGCTACCTTGACCATGTGCACAGTATGCAAGGCTACCTTGACCATGTGCACAGTATGCAAGGCTACCTTGACCATGTGCACAGTATGCAAGGCTACCTTGACCATGTGCACAGTATGCAAGGCTACCTTGACCATGTGCACAGTATGCAAGGCTACCTTGACCATGTGCACAGTATGCAAGGCTACCTTGACCATGTGCACAGTATGCAAGGCTACCTTGACCATGTGCACAGTATGCAAGGCTACCTTGACCATGTGCACAGTATGCAAGGCTACCTTGACCATGTGCACAGTATGCAAGGCTACCTTGACCATGTGCACAGTATGCAAGGCTACCTTGACCATGTGCACAGTATGCAAGGCTACCTTGACCATGTGCACAGTATGCAAGGCTACCTTGACCATGTGCACAGTATGCAAGGCTACCTTGACCATGTGCACAGTATGCAAGGCTACCTTGACCATGTGCCGTGGAGCACACCTTGGCGAGCAGGTAGCCATAGATGAGGGCGAAGGCGTTGGACTTGTTGCTGCGCCACACCGCTATGAGCTCTGCCAGTGATGGCAGCTGCTGGCATGTGGCACGCAGGGAGGGGCGGAAAGGAAACCATGAAACGGATGAGGCCAGGGTGGCGGGCATGCATGCCGTGGGAACAGACTTCCCCACGCCACCACATTCTCATGTGCAACACTCGAGTCTCCCATCCAGGACAACAAAATTTACTTCATGGCAATTGCTCGAGCAGGGGAAGGATAGATGGGTGCATGGAGGCAGTGAGGGGTACCTGCAGGTGGTCCATGGGCATGAGCATACCTGCAGGTGGTCCATGGGCATGAGCATACCTGCAGGTGGTCCATGGGCATGAGCATGGCAACGCGGTCGGAGCACACCTCCAGGAACACCACCTGATGCACGCCGGGGTCAAGGGGAGGAAATATGCAGCAGTGGAAGAGCGCGGTGGTGGGTGAGGAACGGAGGCAGGCCCCGGTGCACACATGCTCTCCCCCCTAAAGGCGACCTGCCTATCCCAGCAGGAGTGGACATAGCCCGAGGGAAACAAGCCATCACCCTCCTCCGGCCCACGCTCGGGTCCTGCTTTACGCTCTGCTCTGCACTCTGCTCTCCGCTCTCCTCCTCGTCTTTCTCCTCGCCGTGTCCTAGCCCCTCGCCCACACCCTCCTCTAAGTCTGCCAGTGCTGCTGCCGCTGTGGCGATGTGCATGACGGGGGAGGAAAATTTTGCGGCGATGGGGTACGCCGTGTACAGTACAGTACTGTATGGGATGGTGAAAGCCACGCAAGGGCAGGTTCGCCTGTCTTGCGCGCGGAAACGCTGAAGGCACATGCGCTACGATGCGTGGTTGCAATGCACATGCCATAAAAAGCCATTGAAGAACCTCCAGTCAAGGTGGGAATAAGGCAACGCATGGCAGTAGTGGTGCGGTGCATGGCGGTAGTGGTGCGAGCAGCCATGGGATGCGGCAAACAGCAGCCATGGGATGCGGCAAACAGCAGCCATGGGATGCGGCAAACAGCAGCCATGGGATGCGGCAAACAGCAGCCGATTCCAAGCCTGAGAGCGGGCACTGACCTCCGGTTTGACTTGGCGGATGATTCGCCGCACCTCGTTGCACGACTCCTGCCCGCACACATGCACACATGACAAGCACGTCAAGGTTTCAGCCCGCAGGCATGGCAGAGATGGTGGAATGAAATGAATGACATGGACGCTGAGAATGCACGGCCCGTTGCCGTCGCACAAGCTTGGATGACGACACCTCCTCGCATTGCTATGGACGAGCAGCAACCCACACGTGGGGGCACTGAGTAGGCACCTTGGACACGTGGGCCGTGCCAATGAGGTGCACCACACACTCCGCTGCTGCCCCTCCCGCATTGCCGCCACTGCCACCACCATCACCATTGCCGTTGCCACCAGCGCCGCCAGCAGCATCATCGCCCTGCTGCTGCCGCTGCTGCTGCCCCACCTGCGGGCATGTCAGCACCACCACATTGCTGCTCGCCCCTCCTGCCCCCGCCCCTCCCCCCTCGCCCTTCCCATGCGCGTCCCCATCCCCTGCGCCAGCTGCTCGTGGCACTGCCCCACCCTGCCAGCCCCGCGCCCCCTGTGCTGCCTCGCCCCCCTGCCCCCATGCTCCCCCCGCCAACCGCGCCCTCAGCTCCGCCACGCGCCCCCCTCCACCTCCACCCGCCCTTGCCTGCCCGCCAAGCGCACTGCCCTCTGCGGCCCCTCTCCCCACCCACCCTCCCCCACCTGCTGCCCCTCGCGCCCCCACCCCTGCCCCCACCCCTGCACCCTGCTGCCTCTGCCACTCCCCACCCACCCGCCCTGCACGCTGCTTGCCGCCCCCTCCCCCTCCCCCTCCCCCTCCCCCTCCCCCTCCCCCTCCCCCTCCCCCTCCCCCTCCCCCTCCCCCTCCCCCTCCCCCTCCCCCTCCCCTCCCTCTCGCTCCCCCTCTCCCTGCCCTTGCCGCTGCCGTGGTGTACTGTGTCCCTGCCTGTCACACGCGCTGCCATCCCCATCCCCATCGCTGACATCAGCACCACCAGCACCGCCATGAGCAGCCGTGCCGCCGTGCTCCCAGCGCTGCCTGAGGGACGCGAAGCGAGACGGCCTGCCAGCAGCGGAGGGGGCCGGCTGGGGCAAGGGGGCAGGCGGGCAGTGGAGGGGTGCAGCCCATACGGGGGGTGGGGAGAGGAGCAGGAGGAGATGAGGGGGCATGACGACGTGCAGGGGTGTGGAATGGCAGCATGTCACCCATACACTCGTCATGCTTCACACCACTGCTGAGCAGCGTCATGCACAAGCCCACCTGGTGAGGCTCGTCCGATGGCACGGCAGCAGCATCAGCTGCCACGCGCCGTGCTGTCGCCTCGCTGCTCCCTCCCTGCCACAACTCCACGCCGCTGCACTCGGCCACCCCACTCGCTGCCTCCACTGCTGCACCCGCACTGCCACGCCCATCACTGCCTGTATCAACAGCACCAGCAGCAGCAGCACCAGCAGCAGGGCTGCTCTCACACGGCGCCACCACCCCTGTAGGCAGCCCCTCCACGGCCCCCTGGACCCCGTGCGCCCCTGTGTGCCCCTGTGAGCGCCCCTCGCCCTGCCCCGTGCCCCAGAAATCGTCATCCCACTCGCCTGACGACCCACTCGCCCCGCGCGCGCCCGCCCGCCTCTGCTGCGCCCTGCGCCGCCGCCGGCTGCTCCTCGCCTCCACGCTGCGCCACGCCCCCCGCGGGGATGCCGCTGATGCCCCTCCTGCCGCTGTCGCCACTGCCGCTGCTGCGGGTGCCTTCTGGTGGCGGCGCTTGGGCCTCGTCTCTGCTGCTGCCGCCACTGCACGGCACAGCCATGGGTGCCATGCATGTTGTGCACAGCAGGGAGGGCGGTGAGGATGGGAGGAGCAGCACGTGCGCAGCAGCGCAACGCAGGGAACACAACAGGCACGGGAAGCAGCAAGCATGCCTCACCTGATAATGCACCTGCGGGGAGAGGTGAGCCGTCCACATGCGCGGTGGGCCGCCATGCTCCCGCGCTGTCCATGGCATCGCCACTGCCACTGCCAACCTCCGCCGCACGCACAGCTGCTTCTGCTGCTGCTGCCACGGCGGCAGAGGCAGCGAGGGCGGAGGGGGAGGCGTCAGACGGCGAGCTGCCGGGCGACCACAGCCGCACCACGCCTGCGCTGCTCCGCGGCCTGTCCTTCTGCTCCCCCACCCCGCCCTGCCTTCCCCCATGGGCTGCCGCACCGCCCGGCCCAGCAGCAGCCCCCAGCATCGCGGGAGGCGCCAGCAGGTCGTGGCTATCGTGCGCGTTGCTGCTTGGCGCATGGCCGCGCACGCGGAAGCTGGGGTAGCGCCTCTGCAGCCCCGCTGCACCCGCCTCGCCACCCACCTCGCTGCCCACCTGCTCCCCCTCACCCCCGCTCGCCCCGCTACCTACTCGCACCACCTCTATCACCACGGGCTGCTCCAAGCCTGTCTTATCCGATGCTGCGCCCTCCGCCTGCCGCGTCTCCGCCAGCCCTGCCTGCCCCGCAGCACGGCCGCGAGGGCAAACAGCCTCCGCGTGCTCCTCCGCGCGCCCTGACGCGCTGCCCTCGCCGCCACTCGCGTTGGACAGCACATCCGCCTGCACGCCCCTCAACGTCACAGCCCCGCTGCTGCTCGCGTCGTTGCCGCACCCGTCCCATGCGCTACTGCTGTGCGCCACCCCACCGCCGCTGATGCCACTGCCGGCATCGCTCGCACCGCTGATGCCGGTGGCAGCACCGGCAGCAGCGACATGGCCGTCACTGCCGGCGCTACTGAGAGCCTCGTCGCCCCACCCTTCTCCCGCCGCTTCTCCCAACCCACCCACACCGTTAGCTTGCGCACCTTGTGTGACGTCAGCAACAGCAGCGCCGCCGGCGTCGTCGTCCGCAGCGGCGGCGGCGGGCGCGTCCGACCGGCGGCGCCCCTCGGGGCTGTCCCACTCGCCGTCCAGCCGCCCCAATTCGCCATACAGCGCGAAGCCCTCGCCGCTCAACCCGGAATTGCCGGGCAACGGCGAGAGAAGCGGGGAGAAGAGCGGCGACGCGGCACCGCCCGAGGATTCGAGCGGCAGAGCGACGGACCACCACGGAATGTCGCTGTTCGCGTCGCCCAGCGACGAAAGATCGCCTGACGACGACGGCTTGGCGAGCGACGCCAGCGGCGGCACGGCAGAGCCGTCGGCGGCGCGCGGGCTGGCGGCCTCCGGGGTTCCCGCGACGGGGCTCATCACGGCGTCCATCAGATCGCGCATCGAGCCGCGGCTGCGGATGGGTGTCCTGCTCCCATTGGCTAGCCCCCACCTGCCGCCAGCGGCGGGTGGGCGCGAGAAGGAGCGGCTGGCGGCGGGCCACTTGGTGGCGTCCGGCGCCGCCTTGCCGGACCGCCGCTTGGCCTCGCCGCCGTCCGCGTAGGAGGTCGGCATCGCCCGCACGTGCGACGACCACTGCGCGAGCACCGGGTGGAGACACGAAAGCGAGTGACACGTTGGTTGAAAGGCTCGCGGATTGGTGCGAAGGGGAAGCAGACGAACGGTAGAGTAGTGGGGGAATGAGGCGCAAGGATGCAGTGACGTATGGAGCGCAGTGGCGAGAGGAACTCACAGTTGTCGCACGAAGTGCTAGGTTGGGAGGATGTGATCAGGGCTATTGCTAGGATTTTTGCTAGCTCGGACGATCCGGGCCCCTGTGAAAAAGACCCTGTAAAATACGAGCCAGCAGGAAAAAAACCTTCACGAATCCGGGTTCGTGCCAGATAAGGCCTGAAAACTACCTACCAGAATCTCACGGAATGGGGAAATGATCGTGAAACTCACAGTGGGTGGCACGAAGGCTGGGAAGGTTGGAGATTTAAGAGCGGCCCTAGAGGGGGGGAGCGAGACTTTCTGTCGACTTAAAAATGTTTATATGTGGAGGAGTACTACTTCTTGCCACGTCAAAGCAGTACCGGAAATCAAACACCTGAAGGCCAAACCAGGAGCGAATGCCAAGGATATTCACTGAAAGTGGCCTATGCATTGTACACGGGGAGAGGGAGGGGATGCGAAGTAGTTCGAGGACTATAAGTGCTGCTAAAACTATCCGGGTCCCCTCAAAAACATCCCGGAGTGATCCGAGTGGGCTCAAAAATCACCCTTCAGTTTTACGGGCTGGTCCGAAAATCACCTTGTGAAAATCAGGGCTGCTCTAAAAATCACCTTACAATTTCAGTCAAAACAGGGTAATTGCCCTGATAACATAGGCCCTGGATGTGATGTGTGCAGGCAGGCGAGATGAACGCACACAACTGGACTGCTCCGACCAGGAATTCTGGGAAGGCTGGGGCAAGGGTGCAGGACAGGACGAGATTGAAGAGGAGGTGCAGCTTGATTGGAAAGGTCACGAAAGTAGGGCAAAATGTTTCAGACATTCCCTCGTAGTATCAAACATTTGGGCAAATCAAGACCAATCGAAGGTTGGCTGTGCTAAGCAGAAGCCTGGCGAAACGTCAGCAAACTTTTTTCGGAGCTTCAGTGATTGGCCCGTGCCATTACGAAAAGCATCCAAAAAGAGTCTGAAGCATCCCCAAGACAGCCAATGAAAAGCCGGCTTGCTGCACCGAACTTCGAAAATGCACCTAAGGGCGCGTAACCATTTTGCAATTTCCGTTTTTTACGGACTGTCCGCTCATATCGAAGCGGACGGTCCTTTTATCGCGAACAGGACCGTCCGATGTGAAACTTCGGACGGTCCGAAGCAAGGGCGGGCCCACTCGGTATTCCGTGTCACACGGAATGTACGCACTATCTGATATTCCGGACGAAACATAACTCTGAGTCTGTTTTTCCAGACAAAATAAAATCACTTGTCTTTGGGTTCAGAATAACTGAAACTCTACGTCTACAAAATCAGATGAAACTGAAAAAGCAGGTCTGATTTTCAGACCATCAGACCGATTTGGTCTGATAACAAGGACACTTTTTGGTGTTGTTGTTTTTTGCGATCACTATAGTCTCGCTAGAAGCTCGGCATCTTCGTAATTCAAATAACGAAGTATCAAATTATATTTTCGTCGGCGAAACAAAAGACGTTACTGTATATTGATTTTCGACTGCCAATATCTTGCCAGGGCTGGTGGACCATCCGTTTGGGATTCGGACTGTCCACGGTTCACATCGCAGACTGTTGAAAATGTAAGAAAAATGTCACGACAGTCCGTTTTGTTGGCGAAGTTGCCAACACGTAAACGAATATCCTTCTGGAAACATGCGAAGCTGGTTACGTTTCGCCAGCCTGGACGGTCCGCAGTTCGAACCGTCGGGTGCAAAATGGTTACGCGCCCTAACATACTGGATATGACCCAAACGCCAGACCTTGGGAAACGTTTCTCGCAAACAAGGCAAGTCGTCCACTAACTTCGAAAATTTCGCTTCCCATGAAGTAAGTTAATGACCATACAAAAGTGTACACAATGAAATACAGCTGGTCTGAAATATTAGAGAGTAGGGAAAAAACAACATATCACTTTACTGGATGAATCGCCGTACAAATGAGACATTCGGCATCACATAGAGAATTTCTGCTTATAAAACGACCTCAAATAATAAGTTTGGATACATCTTTGTAAGCGATAACGACGATGTGTGACAAGGCATTCAGGTACGCCGGCCTCCTTAAACACATCCTTCCAGTTATTGAGAGATTGGTGCAGCGACTTTGAAGACACACATGGAACCATGAAGCGGAAGTGTGGTGCAAGCCTCTTTTCCCAATGTGATGAAAGCTTGATGCATTCCGTGTCAGATTACTGAACGGGAATGAATGAACGATCAAGTTGGTACAAGTACTAACCCTGATTGGGTTGTGCCTCTTATGGGCTACTCCACTACAACCTACACTATATAAACATAATAACAGTTTGACACACCCCCATAGGCAAAGCGGGGGAGAACAAGAGGTTACAAGACCAGTCAAGAAAAAGCAAAGCAAGCTCACGGTGGATCACAACGTCACCACACATTCCGAGCACAAGCAAATGGCCACAATGTCGAGAGAGTTACACGGAACTGTGTGGTTAAGTCTAGGATGGGGGAACAAACAAGAATGTCGAGGTGCGAACTGTACCCCCTAAGGCTAGCCCCTATACAGCCTAGATAACTTAATACAAATATGTTTGACACACCCCCATAGGCGAAGTGGGGGATAGCCAAAGCAAACAATGGTCACAAGACCAGTCAAGAGAAGAAACAAAGCAAAAGCTAGCTCAGGGTGGATCACGAAGTCACCACACACTCTGAGCACAAGTAAATGACCACAAGGCCGGTCCACATGCAGAGTTATATAAAAGATTGCAAACAGTACAATGATCGCTACATAGCAAGAGTAAGCATGCAGGCATATATATAGGTCACAGTACAAGCAAAGTCAAGCAGTGAGCAAGTGAGGCAAAGCAGGCACAAGCGCTAACATAGTACAAAAGCGCTGATGATCACCAGGCGGAAGTGTCTTGGTGAATATATCAGCAGTGTTGGCCCGAGTGGCCACGTAAGCAAGACGAAGCTGACCACGCTGCTGCATTTCTCGAGGAAGAAAGTAACACAGAGCGATGTAGTTCGTTTTGTGTTCCAGTCTATACTCTTGACACAAGGCAATAGCAACCTTGTTGTCTATCAGTAGGTAGGTGAGCCAGCAAAACTCCTGTGCGGCCATGGCTCCCGCGTAGATCTCAGCCTCACAACTGGAGCTGAAAAAATATTACGAGCGGGTAGACCGCCAAGAAACAAAGCTGGAGCCAAGGCTGAACGTGTAACCCTGTGACGACCGCTGCGTAGCCAGGTCGTCAACCCAAGAAGCGTCTGAGTGTCCAGTGAGGACAACTGGACCCCGCCCTCCAAGCACGAGCCCCATGCCCGATGTACTACACAAGTAACGCGGTATCCTCTTCGCAACATCCATGTGCACCTTCCGGTGTCTACCAGGACCCAGAATGCTAAGAGGGTACGCAAGGTCAGGACGAGTGCAGGTCATCAGGTACATGAGGCAGCCTACTAGCTCTGGATACGGGCCACTCTGCTCTACGGACTCGTCCGAAGGTAGAGCTGAGAGCGAGTGACCGGTAGCCAGAGGAGTGGACTGTGGCGAGGACCAAGTGAAGCCGAAGCGCTGAAGGACCTGCTGCACCATGTGTGACTGAGTCAGGGTGATGGTGCACCGTGCTCTGTCCCGGGTGATCTGCAAGCCAAGATAGCTGCGCAGCTCACCCAGGTCTGTGCACGTGTGTCTCTTCTGCAGCTCCGACTTCACATGGGCGAGTGCCTCAGTGTCAGCAATGGCAAAAACCAAGTCGTCGACGAACACGAGGATGTAGAACGGCGGCGGCAAAGTGTCAGTGCGGAGAAACAGCGACGGGTCTGCAGTCGAAGGAGCAAACCCAAGAGCCGCAAGTGTCGTCCTCAGTGTGTCGTGCCACTCACGAGGCGCCTGGCGGAGACTGTAGACTGGCCGCCGGAGGCTCCACTGGGTACCTGCAGGAAACGACCCAGTGAAACCAAGTGGACGGCGCAGCCAAATCTCCTCGTGCAGGCTGCCTTGTAAGAAAGTTGTGCTGAAGTCAAGAGAGTGAAGCTCGTAGTCACGCTGAGCGGCAACGTGCAGCAGCACCTGAAGAGTGGTCATCTTCGGGGTAGGGGAGAAGGTATGGAAGAAGTCAACTATCTGTCGCTAACTGAATCCTTGTGCAGCGTAACGAGCCTTGAAGACAGGCGGAGAACCCGGCGGCCGCTTCACCCTGAAAGTCCACATGCCATCGACTATGTTCGCCCAAGGAGGGGGAACTGCGTCGATGTAAGTGCCTGTGGACTTCCAGGATGCCATTTCTGCGTCCATGGCTGTCTGCCACTAAGAGGAGTAGGGACCCGCTATCGCCTCTGCGTAAGAGCGCAGGGTCGGGATGTCTGTGTCATCCGGGTCTCCCTCCGGGGCAAGCAGCATGGCCACGAGATGAGGTGCAGTGGGTGCAAGACACTCAAAGTCCTCTTGCCTGTCCTCAAGGACGTCCGTGCCGAGAGCACACTCACCCCCAACGGACGGAGGACAGACAGACTCAGGCTCAGCAACAAGACTAGCGGCGTAGTCGAGACGACAAGCAGCAGCAAAGTCAACAAGCTCAGCGACTAAGGCAGACGCAGTAGCAGGCTCAAACGAATGGTCAGTGACAGCAGTGGCTAAGAGATGCGTAACAGTAGCACAGGCA